CACGTTCAGGACGGCGACGGTGCGCCGGGCTCGCCCGCCTCCTCGGTGCGCAGCTGGAGCATGCGGTCGAGCACGGCGAGCATGGCGAGCACCATGAGCAGCGCCAGCACGAGCAGCAACGCGAGCGGCTCATCCAGCAGGACGGCCACGCCCACGAACCCACTGAGTCCGCCGCCCGGTGCCCAGCGGCCGGGGCTGCGCTACCACCCGGGCGGGCTGCACCTGCCCGTCAACACCAACCCCAAGGAGAGCAAGGACCGGCGCAACCGCGAGCGTCTGCTGCGGGCGGCGGGGCTGGCCGGCCCCACCGCCGGCTCCGAGTTCTCGCTGGGGCCCGACACGGAGCTCGAGATGGACTACTACGACTACAACGTGCACAACGCGTGCGCGGCGCCGGGCTCGTTGCTCGGCATGGACCCCGCCTACCTGCTGTGGATACCGCCCTTCACACCGGGCTCTGCCGGCTCTTGGGAGGTAAGGGGACGTGTGGCAGGGCAAGGCGGTACTAGGAACAATGTGCTGCACTATATGCGGGTGTGTGGGCGAGTTTGCCTACCCCCTTTTAATGCGCAGAACTCGTTTGGCAATGTCGCTACACTGGCACCTGTGTCCTTTGTGTTCTCAGGAGGAGGGCGAGGACGGGTCCGAATCGTGCCGGCTCTTTAGCAGTGACGGCGACGGCTCCGAGTCGGAGCACCCGCTGCAGCTGCAGGAGCTGGCGTCGCAGGTGCAGCAGTTGCACCAGCCTGACGAGAACTGCGGCACCGAGCTGCGGGAACTGCGACGGGCGCCGCCCACCGGGACGCTGGGACCGCTGCGGGAGGAACAGCGCGCGCAGATCCACACGGCGCGCGTCACGGAGCTCACCGTCAAGGAGTCCGAGGCCAAGTCGGAAGCCTCCCCCACGCGGCCGGCGCTCACGCTCCAAGAGTTGAGTGCGTCGCCGCGGCGTCTGCCGGGCAGGCCGGGTGAGGCTGTTGCAGACGACTTTGAAAAGGAGACGTCTGTCGTCAAGTCGCCCAGCGACCAGCGACTCCTTTACCGCCTCCACCAGGAAGTCGACGACGACATCAAATTCGCCGACGATGGCGACGACGACGATGATTGTGAGGAAATTTTTATCAAGGACTCGAAAGTGGATCCGAAGACGGTACCGCTGTTGGGGAAGAGAGGGGACATGAACGCGTGACAAGGATTTGGGACGTTCATTCGAGTTGTGAGCCTCTAGGCTCTACGGCTCCACGCTCACGACGTAACTGGTACTAGTCAAAATTCTGTGGTGACAGATTTATATAATGAATCAGTCTAATATCTAGTCAACATGAAATCTATGATATCCAAATATATCACTCTATCTAACCAGAAACACCAACTGTTGCCCATATCACCTCATCTGTATCATAAACTATGGTTGTACTTACTTCCTCTGTTATGTGTGGTTTTATGTATGATATTTTTTTTATACATTACTTTGTTATTCACTTAACTACAAATGACATTTTTCTATGTATTTTATATTACATGAAAGTTGTTACAGGCTAAAATGTATGACGCAAAATTATCATATATTCTGCTCTAAGAATTGAAAATGCTATTAGTGGATGCAATACACAAGATATTCATTAAACATATATATATTGATAGGTACAATCCTTTTATGAAGATTATAGCTCTCTACATGTTATTTTGATTTGTACGTGTACATCAGTGCCATAATTCTGTGTACCATTCCAGTGAAGATAGTGGGCTGTGTGCAATATTTTAATTGTAAACTGAAATTAACATATTGTTTTATAATGTAATGTTTTGTACAGTAAACCTGTGAAATAAGAGAAAGATTGTTGTCTCACTCTTTCTTTCGATTCTACAGAAAATTGTGCAAAACAAAGAACCCAGGACGTAGAGCGCATGGGCAACACCGCATGGCTCGCTTGTCCGACGCGACGATCTACCCATTAGCCGCCTGCAGAGAGCGGAGAGGCAACCCCGTAGGGCCCGCCA